GCTGAGCAGGGAGCCCGATGCGGGGCTCGATCCCAGGACGCTGGGATCATGACCTGAGCCGAAGGCAGACGCTTAATGACTGAGCCACCCAGGCGTACCATAACTGTGCTTTTTTATGTATCTGAAAAAAGTTATAAAGTCTTCATTTATACTCTTTCTCTTAGGTGCTCTAATACAGTGAGCCTATTAATATAACTGCAGTGTTCATCAGGGAGATAATAGTGGACCCACAACTAAACCTGAAGAAAAATCTCAGCTTGCAGATTTACCTACTTATAAGGACCTTGTCCATTAAATGTTACCAAAGTGAAAGTTTTGTTTTTGTTTTTTTTTTAAGATTTGATTTATTTGACAGAGACACAGCGAGAGAGGGAACACAAGCAGGGGGTGTGGGAGAGGGAGAAGCAGGCTTCCCGTCAAGCAGGGAGCCTGATGTGGGGCTTGATCCCAGGACCCCAGGATCATGACCCGAGTCGAAGGCAGACGCTTAACGACTGAGCCACCCAGGTACCCCCAAAGTGAAAGTCTTATGTTCAAAACTGTTTTGAAAGTTAGTAGTCTTTTGCTTGGTTAATGAGGCAATTTCAAAGCCCTCAAATTCTTAGGGCTACAAATTTTAAACTCTACAAAATCACCTAGAATCATTCAGCTGATTTCCAGCATTGGAATATAGTATGTAGGGTGAAAGTTGACTTTTGAGATTCCTATACTTCTGCAGGAAATCCTCACCAGTAATTATCTTTTTTTTCTCACCAGTAATTATCTTTGAACATTAATGAAAACCCTGTAAAATAGAAAGGTTGGAAATGATCATACTTTCCTATGATCCACAATACAGAAAATTTTTTGGCAACCTGGTTAAGGGAGAATAAAGGTAAATTTTATATCATACAGTATTTTCTTACGAAACTGTTATGGTCATGATTTCTAAACAATAAAGACAAATCCATAGTAACTGGTGACTAGTGTTTCCCTGTTTTAAGTCAGAAGTGACAGAAAAATTGAAATGATGCTGGCTCTCCTCTTCCTCTTCAGTACTTCGATTCTATGTTGTCACAAAGTTTAGGGTGGGATGACCACCTGGGTCCTTTGGCTGGCTGGTTCACCTTAACCTTTCTGTATAGACTAGAGGATGAATACAGACAAGTGGGTCAGAGAGCCTTCCTTGTTCCTGGAAATGCCAGCTCGGATCTCTGGTATCATTAAGGAGAAGTTCCCATGTCAGCTTCAGGCCAAAGCAGATACTTAAGACCATACCAGGGGCCCTGAAGTCACTCTGGAAACAGATCTATGTGTTAAGCCTGATTATGGGTCAGAGGCAGCCAAAAAGCTCGTTGCTATAATCAGATATGGCTACTTGCATGTAGCTCAGTTTTCATGGATTTGTTTCATCTAATTTTAGTCTTTCCATTAAAGTAGTCAGTATCAGTAGCAAGTAAAAAGTATTTGTAATGCTGGATCATTTAGCAATGATGAATTCTTTTTGATACTTGATTTAGTAATTTCAAAAAGTGGTAACTTTTACTTTAGTTATGGCTATTCCTAGACAGAATTCTTACTACAGAGGCAATATTGATTACAATACTATATTACATTTTAAAAAGGCCATTTTGCACTACCTGTTTAGCACCGGAAGGGAAATCACTGTTTTAAAACTTTTTTCTGGTTAGGGGACACCTGGGTGGCTCAGTCGGTTAAGTGTCTGCCCAGCATCCTGGGATGGAGTCCCACATCAGGCTTCTTGCTCAGCAGGGAGCCTGCTTCTCCTCTGCCTGCCACTCCCCCTGCTTGTGCTCTCTCTCTCTGACGAATAAATAAAATCTTTAAAAAAAAAGACAACAAAAAACTTTTTCTGGTTAAATACAAGAGTAAAAGCAGTAGTGCTTTTGGGGTGCTTAATGATTGAAATTTATCTTGAGGAAATATAAAGTTCTTAAATGCTTTGGAAGGTTCTTGATGGCTGTAATTTGGGCCTAGTTGACAGTACACATATTAAGAAATTTAAGTTTTATAATGTGATTCCAGTATAATAGTAACTGACTCACTGAAAAATGATGGAAGACATTTGTTTTAGGTTCTGCCTTTTGGTTTAGGATCTTTAAATCTATAATTTAAAATGTGTTAACTTTTACAAAATTACCTTGCTTAAAAAGAGTGTTCCAAAACAGCTTACTTACCTTCTCGTTCTGCTGGCCAGAATGCTATAGACCATCATGCTCTAGGGAAAAATCAGTTAAGGGCGCCTGGGTGGCTCAGTTGGTTGGGC